TTCCCCTGCCCGCTCCCCAGACTCAACACTCACTCATGCTTGTGCGTGCACGTGGCACACACACACACACACACACACACACACACACACACTTCTCTGCAGTTCAACTCTGCCATGATGTGAGATCAAGGTAATGCCAAACAAATCTCTCTGTCCCCATAAATGTATCCTCTGACCGCAGACATTTGCTGGAAAGAAAATACTGTTTTCATTTGTATCAAGCGATGTTTTCTTCCTCAGCAAAGCACAAAGGGGGCGGACTCCGCACAAAGCCACTTTCTGGGGCGCCCAGCTAGTGCTGTTCCAAACTCGTCAGGAGCAGGGCATCCCTGACCCCAGGAAGGGAGCCATCTGATCCTGGGTCTTTGACCTTCTTCTCTCTTCCCATACCTGTCTGCACAGGGCTGTCGGACAGGAAAAGGTATACAATATTCACAATGATCAGCCTGCACACATGTCTGCTGACTTTGGGGACTTGGGCTTGCGGATCCCTCACGGTAGGAACTGGTTACAGAAAGCTGCCTTTGCCCGGTCTCCCCATCGGAGCAACTGTAGGGGAAGCAAAGACGAGGTTCATGCTCTCGATGTTCTCGCTGGATGGCAGGACGTATTTCTCAATTACAATGTAATCAGGGCAGAGTTAGAAATGGGTGCTTCAGTTTAATAAGGTCTTTGTGGTAATTGTGAACTCACCATCCCTTATGCTGGTAATCATGTAATTACGATGTGAAAATGGGATGCTCTCATTCTATAATAGCATTTTATCTTCCTGGAATTAATATCTGAATAACAAACCCCAAAGATATTTACTTTAAATGTTTTCTTGGTTAATTGCCTTCGCCCTGACTATTAAATTCTTTGTTCTTAAACTGGTCTTTCAAGTTTAATCTGCTTACCTGTTCCTGTAGCAACAACATTTTTTGGACCTTCAAGGGTAGATCCCTTCTACTATCAAAGCTGAAGAATTTTTCGAGACTTGAAAAGCACCTTGGCTCAGGAGGCTGTGTAACCATCCTCTTCCTTCTTCTTGATTTGACACTCAGATAGCAATGTCTTCCAGTCCTTCAAGAGGGTAGCCAGAAATGCTCTTCTGGCCACAAGTGGGAGATCACCCTGACTTCCCAACAGTGTTTCAGTGGGGAGTCCATGATCCCGCGTGTTACAGCTTCTCCTCTTCTTGAACACGTCTTCCTCAGAAGGCAGGGTCTTCTAATACCCTCCGCCCCCCTGCCTCAATCTTCAGGTTGGGACACACCCGAGTGTTTCCTGTAAGCTCCTTTCTGCACCTTTGCATTTTTTCTTCAGCGTCTTTCCAGAAGAGTCATCTACTTCCTAGCAGACATTCCTGGTTCCAGGAAGCTCACGTCCTGTTCCACTCCTGCCTTGCATTTCCAAAAAAGCAAGCTTATTAAGAGTTACTCTTTCTTCATTACATGCCCGGGAAAACAAAACAAAAAAGCCCGCCCAGGTGACAACCCACTTTCTATGCAGCTGAAATTCCAGTTAGGAGAGGGCTTTTGATATTGTAAAGGACACTGTTTCCTGGGAAGCGGTCAATTGGTGAGAAATCTCAAGGAAGTCTCAATTGGCATTCGTATGTCTACTTCATACTCACCAACTATCTGTGAACCAATAAGTCACATTCATGACAATAGTTAACGCCAAACCAAACCCTTCTATCTGACTAGTTAACTCATTCATCACACATTCCTGTCAGTAATAAACGCTGAGGTGTGAGGCCGGAGTACTGCTGGCTGGGATGGTTATGGGTTGTGGGTTTATGCCGAGCCACCCATAAGTAACAGTTGAAGAAATGTTTGGTGATCTACTTGTGAAACCTTAGCCATTGAAAATTCTGTGGACCTCAGTCCTACTGGGACATACCTGGGGTCATCAGGAGTCAGAGGTAATGAGAGCGTTGGCAAAGTTTGAAAGAATCCAGTAGTGACTTCCTGCAGCGGTGGTGGGTGCATCTGTTATAATGCTCCCCTGAAACCTGTTCTAATGCATTTGTTCACCCAGGGCTCTGTCGGCCTCTGCATCTGATAACTTTTCCACTTCTTCCTGAGAACATTGCACACTTAACAGGAGAATATGTTCCTTCCTATAATAATAACAATAGTTTTTTTAAAAGCTAAGGACATTTTTCTTCTTAGAGTCCATAGGATCTGATACATTATGTGTGCGTTTTTTAACTTCCTAGGCAAGTCTGTCTTCAGTGATTTGAATGTCAATCCCTTTTAGAAGGGATTAAGTACGTCAGAAATATGTCACATCACACTGCTTACAGTCTATTGCTTTATGATGCATACTGAGTCCAATGGACCTTTGCAAAAGTAATCCCTCTAATGATGGAGATGACAGAACATCAAATGTCAGAAGAAAACAATCCACCAGGGCTTAGCTGTCATGTCAAATACAAAAAGAACAGGGATTTCCTGGTTCTAAAGATGCCTGGGTCTCTCTTCAGGTCTAGAATGAAAGCAACAGCGAATATGGAGCAACCCAGGTGACCTGACAGTTCTCTCCCTGGGTGCAAAAGAAAGCAGGAGCGGAGGCAAGAGATAACTCATTTGAAGGACAAAAAGCAAAGGGAAAAAGGACCTTTGAAGGAGCTTCAGACGGATGACTACCTTTGAAAGGCATCCGGGAGGAAACTCAGGGGATCTCTGGACTGGAGAGCAATGTGATTGGAATTGAGGCCTGGGCTAGCCATTTGCCTTCTCTAGTCTCAGGTGTCCTATCTGTAAAAGAGGAATGCTCTTCTTATCCCATGTGCCCCACAGGTAGCTTATGAGAATCAGCTGAGGTGATCTATGTAGAAATGTTTTGAGAAGCAGAAAGGGTTGGAGAAGAGTCAGCATTATCTAAAGAAAGCTAGGAGGAGTCAGGGTTTAGATAATTAATCAATGGGGTAAACTCTACTCCACATAGATGAGGTCATCTTTTCTCAAAAAATAAGGACACGTGAGGATTATAAACTCTTATTCATGAGCTAGAGAGACCGATTTATATGTTACAAAGGAGCGTATATATTGCGCCATAGTGCTTACTTTAAGAAAACACCCACGCATCTTGAGACTCAGTTTCCTTACTTATAACGTGAGAATATAGCTCTGACTGGGAGCGCAAGTCACTTTGAATTCTGATAACCCATGCTTCCTCTTCTTAGAAGGCCTCAGAAACCCGAGCATTTGCTTCCTTTTACTCGGACTGAACACAGGGATCATGGTCTCATTGATTCAAACACTGGTCACCATTATCTTTAGTTACACTGCCATGAAGCCTGCAGAGATGTCTTTAATTACAATATGTCCTGATTCATGAAAGCCTTCTCCTAAGAGTTATCACAAAGGATAACAAACAAACCTATAATTCTATAAATCACAAATGTCCATTGCAAAAATATTGAAAAACAGTGTATCAGAGTCTAAAGAAGGATGTCAACATGATCCACAAGTTCACCACCAGGATGCGATCAATAGTTTTATCTTGTGATGCTCCTTTACACTGATAATGAAACGAGAGCCTTTTAAAATTAAGTAGGCGATTGAAATTATTGACACCTGTTGTCTCTTTATCATGGGAGGCTACCTGCAGTGGTGCAGTACTGTGCATTTCTTCCCAACTCCAGATTCAGCAACATCCCGTTTGCAACTCTAAATCTACCAGGAGCAACAGTTAATGCTACAATCAGAGTTTCCATCTACCCCACTTGAAGCCCTGGTGTTAAGTATTTATCCAGCATAGCATTGCATATATATCTTTCTTCATGGATTCTTTTTTTCCTCCCATAGATGTCCAAATATAATACAAATATTATACTTGAAAATATCCGTTTGTTGACTTATACATCATGGAAAAATAAAATCAATCCATCTATTCTTTTTAAAAATGCACACACATATTTACAAATATATATATTTTAGCAAAAAATTAGAGTCCTCACCTAGATAGCCTCTTTTTTTTAAGCTGACATTTCATTACATCTAGAAATATATTATGGATATACATTCTTGCCAATGGCGACAGAGCAACATTTTCATGTTCAAATTGTGTGTAGATGAACTATTTTGTATTAAGTAAATTTCTCATGTTGGATATTTATGCTTTTTCCAATTGTTGTTGTTGTTGTTGTTGTTTTGCTGGACAACTTTATACGTGCATTTTCTACCTGTTTGTCAGATAATTTCCTCAGAACATGATACTAAAAGTGTCATTGCTACAAAAAAGGGCCCACGTATTTTACATTTCATTTGGTACATAATGCCACATTACCTTCCCAAAAGATTGTCCCAGGTTAGATTCTGATCAGCAGCCATTTTTGGAAATACTTGCATTCTTTGCCACCCTTATCAATGTTGAATACTATCAGTCTGATTTAGCTTTAGCCCATTTGGGAAGCTAGAAGACTTTATTGCTACAAGTCTTGTATTTCCTTAATGTGAAGCTGAATACATATCTATATATCTATTGGGCATATATATTTTTCTAAAATCTTATAGTTTTATTATCTACAACTAGGCAATATAACAACAAAAACTAGTTAACCACTTAGCTCGTGATTGTGCAAATTCTTTTTAAACGTCCCTGCCATTTGTCAGAATTCAGCAAAAACGTGGTGCTGCACCGACTGATGTCATATGGCAGCAGGGCAGCATGCAGTCTTTTGTACCTAGAGTGTCCTGTCATGCCTTCTACATGAGCTACGGACATGTGTCCTCACCCATTATTGGCTCACGTTA